TGAAGAAGCTACTCGTATTGAAACGTTTCTTATACAGCTGCAGCTGTACATAACTGTCTTTATCCTTAAGCTGCTGTGTGTCTCTCTTTCATCCTCTCTTGGGCTCACTCACTATTCCACTCGGATACATTTCTCTTCAATCCTTCGAAAGTTAAGAGGCGGGACCACAAGCTAGTGATCAACCCACTAACTTATTTAGATAATTATAAACAGGTAATCACAGCACGACGATAACTTGATTCAGAGTCAGTGTTGATGGTGTTGTTATTATTTATTTATTTATTTATTTATTTATTTATTTATTTATTTATTTATTTACGTCTTTGCAAATAGTACATTGAGACTATGTATTTACAATAATGGGTTGAAATGCAAAGAGAGCCTCTATTATGCCTAGGCATTATGGGCCAACTTAACATTATTGGCTTACTGACTACTTAACACTAAGGAATTATGTCATAGTTGTACAGTAGATCTGTCAATTATAAGTGAATCTAGTTTATATAAAACAAATGATATACGTATTCATATATTAAAAAATGCTTTTTGTGAAACAATGATTCAATTATATTCCTGTCGACAATGGATAGTAGGTTCAAAAGTAATTATTGAAATTATGATATGGGAATATGTATTGAGTATGGGAATACTGAGTATTGAGCATTTAGTCGAGGGTGATTAAGTGGCTTTTGAGAAGAGTCCTAAATTGATTTTCAGACCGGATTACTCTAGTATCTTCTGGTAATGAATTCCATATTTTGGGGCCCTTTAGGTGCATAGAGTTTTTACACAGTGTGATATGGACACGAGGTATGTCAAACAGAGATCTGTGCCTTGTGTTATGGTAATGTGTCCTGCTAAGGTTGGTGAGGAGAAGTTTGAGTGGAGGGTTTATATTTGCGTGTAATGTTCTATGTATGTAGTAGGTACATGAATAAGTGTATGTTTGAGTGGAGGGTTTATATTTACGTGTAATGTTCTGTGTATATAGTAGGTACATGAATAAGTGTGGATGTTCTTAATAGTGAGCAGATTTAGACTTTTGAAAATTGGTGGAATATGCTGTCGGGAGTGGGAATTTGTTGTCATTCTGACTGCTGCCTTTTGCTGGGTTATTAGAGGTCTTAGGTGAGTTAATGTTGCTGATCCCCATGCACAAATTCCATATGTGAGGTAAAGGTATACGAGTGAATGGTACAGTGCCAGGAAAGCTGATTGTGGAACGTAGTACCGTATCTTTGATAGTATGCCTACAGTCTCAGAGATTTTCTTGGTGATTTGTTGTATGTGTGTCTGGAACTTTAGGCTAATGTCAAGGTGGATACCTAGGAATTTTCCCTCTAAGTCTTGTGACTAGTGATCCGTTTAGCGTTATGTTAAGTGGAACATTTACAGCTTTGATTCCAAACTGAATGAAATAGGTTTTATCAGTATTCAGGGTAAGTTTATTAGTCATCATCCAGACAGATAGTTTCTGCAATTCGGCATTGACAGTGTTGGCGAGTATGACTGTTTGGGCGGGAGAAGACGTATGTGGTGTTGTCAAAGCTTTTCTGAGTGAACTAGAAATATGAAAACCAACTTATTGTTAATTATAATTATAATGTTCTACCAAACCTTACATGAACTTTGCTCTTTGTTATTGGAGAGACACCAACACTACAATATTTAAAAAAAAAAAAAAAAAAAAAAAAAAATTTAGTATGTCATTACATATTATACTACTTAATTACTACTGGAATCTGGATAGAATAACCTAGAAGTTTCAAACCGGCAAATTTTCCACAATGAAGTAAGATTATCAGAAACATTTTGGAAGCTCCATTTACTTTGTATGCATGTGAACAGTTCTTGAGAACACTTTTTATAATGATATAGGCTCTCGGAATTCAGAGACAACTCACTCAGAAACGTTCAACATACGTCAAAGCATTTTATCCACAGTGGTATATTACAGACAATTCTGGAAAAATTCCCTGACATTGCTCCCTGTAAATAAAGGATTACCACGTGTGTATGTGTGTGTGTGTGTATGTGTGTGTGTGTGTATGTGCACTCACCTATTTGTGGTTGCAGGGGTCGAGTCTTAGCTCCTGGCCCCGCCTCTTCACCGGTTGCTACTGGGCCCTGTGTGTATGTGTGTGTGTGTACTCACCTAGTTGTACTCACCTAGTTGAGGTTGCAAGGGTCGAGTCAAAGCTCCTGGCCCCGCCTCTTCACTGGTCGCTACTAGGTCACTCTCCCTGAACCATGAGCTTTATCGTACCTCTGCTTAAAGCTATGTATGGATCCTGACTCCACTACATCGCTTCCCAAACTATTCCACTTCCTGACTACTCTGTGGCTGAAGAAATACTTCCTAACATCCCTTTGATTCATCTGTGTCTTCAACTTCCAACTGTGTCCCCTTGTTACTGTGTCCAGTCTCTGGAACATCCTGTCTTTGTCCACCTTGTAAATTCCTCTCAGTATTTTGTAAGTCGTTATCATGTCCCCCCTATCTCTCCTGTCCTCCAGTGTCGTCAGGTTGATTTCCCTTAACTCTCCTCATAGGACATACCTCTTAGCTCTGGGACTAGTCTTGTTGCAAACCTTTGCACTTTCTCTAGTTTCTTTACATGCTTGGTTAGGTGTGGGTTCCAAACTGGTGCCGCATACTCCAATATGGGCCTAACGTACACGGTGTATAGGGTCCTGAACGATTCCTTATTAAGATGTCGGAATGCTGTTCTGAGGTTTGCCAGGCGCCCATATGCTGCAGCAGTTATTTGGTTGATGTGCGCTTCAGATGTGCCTGGTGTTATACTCACCCCAAGATCTTTTTCCTTGAGTGATGTTTGTAGTCTCTGACCCCCTAGACTGTACTCCATCTGCGGTCTTCTTTGCCCTTCCCCAATCCTCATGACTTTGCACTTGGTGGGATTGAACTCCAGGAGCCAGTTGCTGGACCAGGTCTGCAGCCTGTCCAGATCCCTTTGTATTTCTGCCTGGTCTTCGATCGAATGAACTCTTCTCATCAACTTCACGTCATCTGCAAACAGGGACACCTCGGAGTTTATTCCTTCCGTCATGTCGTTCACAAATACCAGAAACAGCACTGGTCCTAGGACTGACCCCTGTGGGACCCCACTGGTCACAGGTGCCCACTCTGACACCTCACCTCGTGTGTGTGTGTGTGTGTGTGTGTGTGTGTGTGTGTGTGTGTGTGTGTGTTGTGTGTGTGTATGTGTGTGTGTGTGTGTGTGTGTGTGTGTGTGTGTGTGTGTTGTGTGTTGTGTGTGTGTGTGTGTGTGTGTGTGTGTGTGTGTGTGTGTGTGTGTGTGTGTGTGTGTGTGTGTGTGTGTGTGTGTGTGTGTGTGTGTGTGTACTCACCTATTTGTGGTTGCAGGGGTCGAGTCTTAGCTCCTGGCCCCGCCTCTTCACCGGTTGCTACTGGGCCCTGTGTGTGTGTGTGTGTGTGTGTGTGTGTGTGTGTGTGTGTGTGTGTGTGTGTGTGTGTGTGTGTGTGTGTGTGTGTGTGTGTGTGTGTGTGTGTGTTGTGTGTGTGTGTGTGTGTATGTGTGTGTGTGTGTGTGTGTGTGTGTGTGTGTGTGTGTGTGTGTGTGTGTGTGTGGTGTGCGTGTGTGTGTGTGTGTGTGTGCGTGTGTATGTGTACTCACCTATTTGTGGTTGCAGGGGTCGAGTCTTAGCTCCTGGCCCCGCCTCTTCACCGGTTGCTACTGGGCCCTGTGTACTCACATAGTTGTACTCACCTAGTTGAGGTTGCGGGTCGAGTCCGTGTTGGTGTGTGGTGTGTGGTGTGTGTGTGTGTGTGTGTGTGTGTGTGTGTGTGTGTGTGTGTGTGTGTGTGCGTGTGTGCGTGTGTGTGTGTGTGTGTGTGTGTGTGTGTGTGTGTGTGTGTGTGTGTGTGTGTGTACGTATGTACTCACCTAATTGTACTCAATTGTGGTTGCAAGGGTCGAGACTCAGTTCCTGGCCCCGCCTCTCCACTGAACGCTTCTAGGTCCTCTCTCTCTCTGCTTCCTGAACTTTGTCATACCTCGTCTTAAAGCTATGTATCGTTCCTGCCTCCACTACATCACTTGCTAGGCTATTCCACTTCCTGACGACTCTGTGGCTGAAGAAGTACTTCCTAACATCCCTGTGACTCGTCTGAGTCTTCAGCTTCTAATTGTGACCCCTTGTTTCTGTGTCCCCTCCCTGGAACATCCATACTTGTCCACCTTGTCTATTCCACGCAGTATTTTGTATGTTGTTATCATGTCTTCCCTGACCCTCCTGTCCTCCAGTGTCGTCAGTCCGATTTCCCCTCAACCTTTCTTAGTAGGACATTACCCTGAGCTCCGGAACTAAACTTGTTGCAAACCTTTGTACTTTCTCAAATTTCTTGATGTGTTTGTCCAGGTGTGTGTTCCAAACAGGTGCTGCATACTCCAGTATGGGCCTGACGTACACAGTGTACAGAGTCTTGAACGATTATTTACTAAGGTAACGGAACACTATTCTCAAGTTTGCCAGGCGCCCATATGCTGCAGCAGTTATCTGGTTGATGTGTGCTTCCGGAGACGTGCTCGGTGTTATGCTCACCCCATGATCTTTCTCCTTGAGTGAGGTTTGCAGTCTTTGGCCACCTAGCCTATACTCTGTCTGCGGTCTTCTGTGTCCTTCTCCAATCTTCATGACTTTGCATTTGGCGGGGTTGAATTCGAGAAGCCAGTTGCTGGGCAACGTGTTCAGCCTGTCCAAGTCTCTTTGTAGTCCTGCCCGATCCTCATCTGATTTAATTCTCCTCATTAACTTCACATCATCTACGAACAGGGACACTTCTGAGTCTAACCCTTCCATTATGTCATTCACATATACCAAAAATAGCACTGGTCCTAGGACCGACCCCTGTGGGACCCTGCTCGTCTTAGGCGCCCACTGTGATATCTCATCACGTACCATGACTCGTTGTTGTCTCCCTGTCAGGTATTCTCTGATCCATTGCAGTGCCCTTCTTGTTATATGTGCCTGATCCTCCAGCTTCTGCACTAATGTCATGTGAGGAACTGTGCCAAAGGCCTTCCTGCAGTCCAGGAAAATGCAATCAACCCACCCTTCTCTCTCCTGTCTTACTTCTGTTACCTTGTCATAAAACTCCAGAAGGTTTGTGGCACAGGATTTGCCTTCCATGAATCAATGCTGGTTGTCGTTTATAATCTCGTTCCGTTCCAGGTGCTCCACCACTCCTGATAATCTTCTCCATGACTTAGCATACTATACATGTCAGTGACACTGGTCTGTAGTTTAGTGCATTGTTTCTGTCTCCTTTCTTAAAAATAGGGACTACATTTACCGTCTTACATACCTCATGTAGTTTCCCAGTTTCAAGGGATGTGTTGATGATTGTGGTTAGTGGCACACACAGCATCTCTGCTCCTTCTCTAAGGGCCCACGAGGAGATGTTGCCCGGTCCCATCGCCTTTGAGGTATCAAGGTCACTTAGCAGCTTCTGCACCTCCTCCTCCGTTGTGTGTATGTCATCCAACACTTGTTAGTATATTCCCTGACAGTGTTCCCCTCTGTGTTGTCTTCCCAGAACCCTTCCTGTCTCTACTGTAAATACTTCCTTAAATTTCGTGTTGAGCTCCTCGCATACCTCATGATCGTTTCTTGTGAGTTCCCCACCTACTTTCCTCAGCCTGATCACCTGGTCTTTGACTGTTGTCTTCCTCCTGATGTGGCTATACAGCAGTTTTGGGTCAGACTTGACTTTCGATGCTATGTTGTTTTCATACTGTCGCTGGACCTCCCTCCTTACCTGTGCATACTCGTTTCTGGCTTTTCGACTAATCTCCTTATTTTCCTGTGTTCTTTGTCTTCTGTACTTTTTCCATTCTCTAGTGCACTTAGTTTTTGCCTCATTACACCGTCGGGTAAACCAGGGGCTCGTTCTGGTTTTCCCATTGTTTCTGTTGCCTTTGGGAACAAACCTTTCCTCTGTCTCCTTGCATTTTCTTGTTACGTATTCCATCATTTCATTTACTGACTTTCCTACAAGTTCTCTGTCCCACTGAACCTCCTGCAGGAAGTTCCTCAAACCTGTGTAGTCCCCCCTTTTATAGTCTGGCTTTTCCCATTCATCTCCTGTTACCCTCTCCACTTGTAACTCTACTGTGTATTCAAAGCACAGAACCACGTGATCACTAGCTCCTATGGGCCTCTCATATGTGATGTCCTCAATGTCTGAACTGTTCAGAGTGAACACAAGGTCCAGTCTTGCTGGTTCATCCTCCGCTCTCTCTCTCTGGTAGTGTCCTTAACATGGTGAGGCATGAGATTTTCCAGTACTACATCCAACATCTTGGCTCTCCATGTTTCGGGACCCCCGTGTGGCTCCAGGTTTTCCCAATCGATCTCCGTGTGATTGAAATCGCCCATAACCATTAACTTTGCTCTGCTCGAGTGAGTTCTTCTTGCCACCTCAGCCAGTGTGTCCACCATTGCTTTGTTGCTCTCTTCATATTCCTCTCTTGGCCTCCTACAGTTCAGTGGTGGATTATACATCACTGCAATGACTACCTTATGTTCCCCAGACTGAAGTGTACCTACTATGTAGTTCCTTTCTTCAATCTCGACCATGCCTCCCATTTCCTCAAATTTTCATTGGTTTTTAACGAGCAGTGCAACCCCTCCTCTCCCTCTGCTCCTTTTATCTTTCCTCGGGATCTGATATCTGGGTGGGAAGATTGCATCTGTTATTGTCTCAGTGAGTCTCGTTTCTGGGGACTTCTCATTGATTCTTCCATGCCACTCCTCATATTTATTCATTATTCCATCCGCATTCAACTTCTTTTCTATACTCGTGTATATGTGTGTGTGTGTGTACTCACCTAGTTGTACTCACCTAGTTGTGGGGGGTCGATTCACAGCGCCTAGCCCCGTGCGCGCGCGCGCGTGTGTGTGTGTGTGTGTGTCTGTGTGTGTGAGACCCAACAGTTAATATTTGCACCAATAACTCATTATAGTTGTGACCGGGTGTGGACGTGTGAATTGCTCATTACTCTATAATTTGTTCATGATTGTAGCCATGTATAAACGTAAGTAAGTAAATTTACTTACATGATTCATTACCTTTGTACCTTGTTCAGCTATCAAAGCTTTGGGGCCTCGTCCCTGGACCCATTATGTAATCTTTTGACTACCGCCCACAGGATGATTATGGGGTGCATAATAAACATATTAAACTAAACTAACTCGGAATACGCATCTTTGTTCAGATGGATTTTTTTTTTTTTTTTTGAGGACTTGCAACATGGAATATTAGATTATATATGATAATTTGTTACAGTCTTCTCTGATTAGTTTCAAATCTTCATTTCTACTATTAGCTGCATTAGAAACTTATGCCTCACTATGCATTTTTCCCTTTGCATGCACTAAAGTGGAGGGGGCTGGGCTTATGAGATACTGATATAACTTACAAGGATCAAGCAGCTACCGAAAAGCATCAAGTTACCTTTTCTTTCTCCCAGCGCTCATAGGAGTAGCCAACGCCGCCTACCTTGACGGCGTCCAGGCCCCAGCCGGCACCCAGCTATCCTTCGACACCAGTTTCAGCAGGGAAACTCATAGTACTTCTCCTGCAAGAAGTGGCTACTACGACAACCGTGGTAACAGCGGGGGATTTCCGACCAGTGGAGCTACAAGAGGTACTCTTGGAGGTATTTCCAGTGGAGCCAGTAGCAGTATCATTAGTGGAGGAGGATTGACAGCCAGTGGTAGTGCCACTGGGGAGGCCGTTTTACCAGGACGGATTGGTTCTGGATTTGGAGTAGGCTTACATCTCTTGGAGTCTGGTGGTAGTGAAGCCATCAATGACCTGGGGAATGCTATCGGTGGAGGAGGTGTCCCCGGTGAGAACTACCCCATCCTCGACTCTGTCCCCAGTACCAAGTTCTCCTGCGATGGTCTACTCCCAGGATACTATGCTGACACTGACAAAGAGGCCCGATGCCAGGTAAGGCTTGAAGAGACACCTAAACAAATTATGTATTTTTAAATACTTTCTTTACTTAAGGCCTATGTAAAAGGAGATTATTAATAGTGCATCGAATACTCTGTTTAGGTTTTGTACTTCCTCAAAAAAAAAAAAAAAAAAAAAAAACAGCTTCAGCATGAGTTACTGAGACACATCACTTCATGAACTGCTACAAGATTCTGCCTTTGTGCTGATTTTATGCTGGAAAAATACATACATGAATTCGTTATTATTATTATTACATTCATGGAGGGAGCGTTAAGCCCATAGGGGTCATACAGTCATCTGGAGGAAATGGGAGTCAATCAGGTTCGATCCATGGAAAGAAACAGGTCCAATTCCTTAGATCAAGAGTCCTCACAGACATCAAGGAATTAGTCTATTGGAAAACTCAGAGCCTTAGTAAATCTAGTGAAATTTAAATTTTTTTCGTTACGGAAGCCATGTCTGTGTCCGAGGCAGGTGACCCAGACATTTGCAGCAACAATGTAAGCAAATAGGTTGTTTTCTTCTAATTGGCAAGATTTTTTTTTACTGTAAATTACATTATTTCCATTATAATTTAATTATACCCTCTGGAATTAAAACTGGTACTCAAAGATGAAATAAACTTACGTAAATCAATAATATTTTTTCGTTAACATTTTTTGTTTTATAGGTGTTTCACGTCTGTCAAAGCCGTGGACGGATTAACTCATTCCTCTGTCCCAACGGTACCATCTTCAACCAGCAGTACTTTGTGTGTGACTGGTGGTACAACGTCGACTGTTCCACTGCTCAACAGTTCTACTCACTCAATGCCCAAATTGGTCAAGTTGCAATCGGCGGCGATAGGTTCGGCACCGCCTCGTCTCTCCAAGAATCAGTATCTTCCTTCGGTAACGGTGGACCTCCGACAAGTTATCAAGCTCAAGAAGGAAGCAACATTAACATTGTGGATTCTAGAATTAATCAAAATAATGCCTTAGTCAATGATGGAGGAAATGCATTCAATGGAGACAGGCGTGGCTCGGCATCAAACCAACAGGATTCTTTCTCTGCCCTCACTGTGGGCAAAATTAATGGAAGTGCCTCTTCCTCGCATCATGGAACCACAAATGTCGCTAGAAGTAACTTTGGAGCCAGCACTAACCCAGAAGTCCTGAGAAGAGGCAACACAGGAACTACAAGTGAGAGCAGAAAGGAAGGTTTAACAGGATCTAATACCGAAGCCGTATCAGACAGGTTTGACTCGGCATCAGCTCAACTGGGTTCTGTCTCTCCCTCCACTATCACTGCCTTTAACGGAGGTGCTCCTTCTGCTTATTACGAAACTCCAAACAACTTCAATGGTAACTTTGGAGCCAGCTCTAAGCAGGAAGTTGTATTAACACAAAAGGATACCACGGGAACTGCAAATGAAGACAGAAGTGTTGGGTTTACCGGGTCTTATACCAACACTCCGTCACAGAGGTCTGGCTCGGCATCCGTTCAGCAGAGTTCTTTCTCTCCCGTCACTGGTTATTCTATCAACGGAGATGCTCCTCCCACTTCTTATGAAAACCCAAGCAGCGTCAATGGTAACTTTGGAGCCAGTTCTAAGCAAGAAGCTGTAGTAAGAGGCGCCACAGGAACTACAAATGTGGACAGGAAACATGGTTTTACTGGGTCTAATACCCAGGCTTCATCAGACAGGTCTAGGTCTGGCTTGCCTTCTGGCTCTCTCTCTCTGCCTCCAATGTTAATGCTATAGATGGAGATGTTCCTTCCACCTATTATGAAAGCCAAAGCAACGCCAGTGGCGTCTTTGGAGCCAGCGCTAACCAAGAAGCTGTACTGAGAAGCAACATACGAACTGCAAATGGAAGCAGGCAGGGTGGTTCTACTGTGCTTTCTATACGAGCCCCATCAGGTCTTTACGAAACTCCCGAAAATTAAGCAATGTGTACTATAATTTATAAAAGCTAATTTCGGTTTAAAAATATTGTAAAGCATTGATAAAACCAAATAAAAAATAACAATCAACATTTTTTAACTCTACATAATAAAATAAATATGCATTTAGAATACATGTTGAAGAATGAGACACGTAACATATGGGAGTCTTTATTAAGGAAGGCGAGTCGAAGTAGGACAAGGCGGAGTCACAGTGGTACCATCCACTAATGTAAGTAAGTCTTCGTCCAAAGGTTGAACAAGTGTTGAAGAATTCCTTGTATCAAGATCCCATGACGTTGCAGTGTCTAACAAATGTGATAAATGGGCGTTTGACTGGGTTTCCTCTGTGGTTATCCTGTATATGAATGTATGTCTGGTATGTACTCACTAATATGTGGTTGCAGGTCGATTCACAGCTGGCTCCGTCTCTTCGCTGGTCGCTACCAGGTTCACTCTCATATCTTCAAGAACGTTATACATTTTCTTTTAAGCTATGTACGGATCCTACCTCAACTACTTGACTCTCTCTCTACACACACACACAACACACAACATATATGTATGTATATATATATATATATATATATAAAAATATATATAAAAGTATATTATATAAATATATATATATATATATATATAAATATTATATTTATTATTATTATTATATATATATATATATATATATTATTATAATATATATATATTATAGGGGTCCACCTCTGGTGTAAATTGTGGGACCATAGCCTCGGAGAAGTGGATAAAAAGGCTTCAAGGAAGAATATTTGGATATTTTTTATAATATATATATATATATATATATATATATATATATATATATATAATATATATATATAGTATATATATATATATAATATATATGAGTAGTCATAATTTCTACACGGGGCACCCTTCCGGAAAAGGCATGCGGCTGAGCGGTGTATCCGGTTTTAGGGGGTGCGGCTGAGTGTTGTATCCGGTTTAGGCCTTCCACTGGGGGCCCCTTCAAAGGATGCCGCCTTTTCACACCTATGTGCTAATGACCTTGACCCTATGATAATGACCCTTCTGGGCACGTATCCCCTTTTCACACCTATGTGCTAATGACCTTGACCTCGCCCTCGAATCCACCCTTGACCCCCCGCCCACGACCCCCTTCGCGACCCCCCTTCGCGACCCCCCGTCGCGCCGCTCGGCCGCCCGCGCGCCCGCCCGCGCCCTTCGCGACCCCCGCCCGCGCCTTCTGCTGCGCCTTCTGCAGCGTCGTCCGGATCGCCCCCGCGTCCCGAATTTTTTCCGATTTTTTTCGATTTTTTTTTGAATTTCATTTTCTTGTGCTCTCCATCTCCTTGGATCAAATTTTTGAGGTTCCCCCTCTCACTTTCACCCCCATCCCAAAATTTCTCGAAATCAAAGTCTCCATCTCCTCGAATCAAGTTTTTTGGATCCCCCCTATGGGGTTTTCGAAATTCTCCATCTCCTTGGATCAAGGTTTTTTGGATTGTCCCTCCTTCCACCTCCACCCCCCAACCCCCAAAATTTCTCAATATTACCAAGTTTTTGGATTCCCCCCTATGGGTTTTCGAAATTCTCCAATTCCTCGGATCAAGTTTTCGGATTCCCCCCTATGGGGTTTTCGAAAGTCTCCATCTCCTTGGATCAAGGGTTTTGAATTTTTTTCCAAATTCCCTTTGGGATAAAATTTTTTGGGTACCCCTCCTTTCACCCCCAAATTTTATCGACAATACCATGACTCCATCTCCTCGGATCAAGTTTTTTGGATTCCCCCCTATGGGGTTTTCGAAATTTTCCAATTCCTCGGATCAAGTTTTTGGATCCCCCTCTGGGGGTAAGCATGCTTACTACAGGTCTAAAAAAAGTCAAATGAACTAAGAAGGGTTTTTAAACTCGGCAGTCAGTGACGTCACACATACAAGCTGAATCTTGTCGACCCTTTTAGTTCATTAAAGTTAATAAGTGGACACTCACCTTCTGACAGTGACGTCACGCGATGACCGCGCACACAAGCTGAAACTTGTCGACTTCCCCCTATGACAGTGACGTCACACATACAGGCTGAATCTTGTCGATCCTTTTAGTTCATTAAAGTTAATAAGGGGATATAGTACCTACATCATAGGGAAAACATTTTCACTCTTAACCCAAATTTTTCATCATCAGAAAGTCGCATTTTTTCGTTAATACCCACAATTTCTTTACAAAATACAACACAACATTATCACAAAAAAACTAACTCAATTTTTTTCGTTTTAACCCTTTTATTTTCATTAAAGTTAATAAGGGGACACAATACATCAGAAAAAAAGTCACAAAAACTAACTCAAACACTTTTACTTTGAACATCACCAAAACACTCTCATAAATCATTTGAATACTCACATAAACACCTTTGAACACCTTCAAAACACTCTTGAACACCTTCAAAAACACCTTTGAACATTTTCAATCAACACTGAAACACTTCCAAAAACACAATTTGAGTACTCCCAATTACACCACTGAATACTACTAAAACACCGATGAATTCAATCAAAACACCCTTCAACACCTTCAAACACCCTTGAACACCTTCAAAACACTCTTAAACACCTTCAAAAACACCTTTGAACATTTCCAAAACACTATTTGAGTACTCCCAATTACACCACTGAATACTACTAAAACACCGCTGAATTCAATCAAACACCCTTCAACACCTTCAAACACCCTTGAACACCTTCAAAGCACTCTCATAAACACCTTCAAAAAACCCTTTGAACTTTCCAAAACACTATTTGATTTACTCCCAATTACACACTGAATACTACTAAAAAACCCACCGCTGAATTCAATAAAAAACACCCTTCAACACCTTCAAAACACCTTTGAACCCCTTCAAAAAACAAATTTGAACACACTCAAAAACACCTTTGAACACCTTTGAACATTTCCAAAACTCTATTTGAGTACTCCCAATTACACCACTGAATACTACTAAAACACCGCTGAATTCAATCAAAACACCCTTCAACACCTTCAAACACCCTTGAACACCTTCAAAGCACTCTCATAAACACCTTCAAAAATACCTTTGAACATTTCCAAAACACTATTTGAGTACTCCCAATTACACCACTGAATACTACTAAACCACCCTGAATTAAATTCAAAACACCCTTAAACACCTTCAAACACCTTTGAACACCTTCAAAAAAAAACCCATTTGAACACACTCAAAACACCTTTGAACACCTTTGAACATTTCCAAAACACTATTTGAGTACTCCCAATTACACCACTGAATACTACTAAAACACGCTGAATTCAATCAAAACCCCCTTTGATCACCTTCAAAAAACAACTTTTTGAAACACTCAAAACACCTTTGAATAACCTCAAAACACCTTTGAACACCTTCAAAACACCCTTGAACACCTTCAAAAACACCCTTGATCACCTTCAAAAAACAACATTTGAACACACTCAAAACACCTTTGAACACCTTTGAACATTTCCAAAACACTATTTGAGTACTCCCAAATAAGATTTGACATCTCTAATTTATCTGCACTTACACATTTCATTAAATTACAACTCATCCCTCAGTCTCCAGACTAGGCACTTTCTCGTTTTTACCCTTTTAGTTCATTAAAGTTTTTTAAGGGGAACACAAATACATCAGATAAAAAGTCACAAAAACTAACTCAAACACTTTACTTTGAACATCCCCAAAACACTCTCATAAACATTTGAATACACACATAAACACCCTTGAACACCTTCAAAAACCTTTGAATTTCGTTTTTTAAACTAATTTCATCACAACCCACTTATATCATTTTTTTTTCGGTAACTCTAATTCGACTACACTACCCTCATCAATTACCAAAAAATTTTTACTCGTTTTAAACTAATTCAATCACTGAACCAAGATTTTCACAAAAAACTCTATGTCACCTAACACACACGCACAACACACCCCCACAACACCCACAATTTTTTCTCGTTTTAAATCTAATTTCATCAGAAAGTCACAACAACAACAACCCACAAACCCACAACACCCACAACCCACATTTTTTTCTCGTTTTAGCTAATTTCATCAGAAAGTCACAACAACCCACAACACCCACAACCCACAACACCCCACAACCCACAATTTTTTCTCGTTTTAACTAATTTCATCAGAAAAAAGGCACAACACCCACTTCACCCACAATTTTTTCTCGTTTCAACCCTTTTAGTTCATTAAAATTAATAATGGGAAACAGTACATCAGAAAAGTCACAACACCCCACATCACCCACATCCCACAATTTTTTTTCTCTTTTTAACCCTTTTAGTTCATTAAAGTCAATAAGGGGGACACAGTACATCAGAAAAAGTCACAAAAACAACCCACTTATATCATCTTTTTCGGTATCTCTAATTCGACTACATTACCCACAACCCTCATCAATTACCAATTTATTCACTTTTTCCCCCTTCTTGTTTCTGAATCTAAAAGAATACACATTCCCCCTACAGTACTTAAAATTCTAATATAAATCCTCTCCATACCCATCTCTTGTTCCATAAATTAATATATACTCCATCAACTACCCAACTATTGCGAATTTTTCAACACCCTCCATTCTTTTCCAATATATCATAACTTTTTCATTTCTATAATTTTTCTTTTTAAAATATTCACACATTACCTTTTATTTTCAGTAAAATCTCCCCATATTTCTAATACAACCCTCCCCAAACCCTCTCCATCTCACCGTTTCCCATCACACCTCTTCAGAACACACACAAAAATCACATTTCAAAATCCACAAATGCATCTCAAATCCACTAAAATCACTATAATCAAGATATTCAAAAAAACTCCATGACCACCTAACAACCACCACACACACACACACACACACACACCTAACCTATCCTAACCTAACCTACCTAACCTACCCTAAACCTTAACCCAACCTAATTTAACCTAACCTACCCTAACCTTAACCCAACCTAACTTAACCAAACCTAACCTAACAAACCTAACCTAACCTAACCTAACCTTACCT